TGCCGATAGATACAACGATAGATATTAAAAAATTGAGATGATACCTCATATAAGCCGTCAATTGGTTTGCCGTACAGCACATACTTCTGGCCGAACGCCGTGTCGGAATATTTTATAATGCTAATTTATTACGGGGAGATACGATGGACGGTAGGGTTTTATAACCTGGATAATCCACCGTAGTCCGGTGACCCCTCATGGCGGAGCGGCTGATTTCCAGGAATTTCATTTTTCGCATGGTTTTATTGGGTCGTTCATACCCGTTTCTGATCCGATTCTTATCAACAGAAAAAAAACTCCTGTCTTTTTGTCAGTTTTTCATTTTCTGGCTGCGCTGTATGCGGATTCGAAGAGACCTAAGCTCTAGCTCCTTTCCCACTCGAGTTGAATTCTGCAGCACACCGACGGGCTCACGCCTCAAGAAAATTGTTATAGGTTATTATTATCTAATCGTGTTTTCTCTTCTAGTCATTCGTTATTATTTCTTGCAGTTTTGTTTTATTCACGAACGTTTTCCAACTTACCTTTTTCAGAGTCGTGCTCCCTAAACACGTCACTAACTCGACTTCATGAAGAAATCCACGCGCCCAAGCGCGGCTGTCTTTGCAGGTATATCGATACCGGTTTCCATAAATTCTTTTTAGGGAACAAACCCGCGCTGCGCGTTGGATCCACCGACTGCCTCTCGGATCGCTTCGCCAACTTGACCAAGCCCGCCCGCCGCCTGACGTTGTCTAGAGTGATTGACCCGCGCAACCTGCTCGATTACGACTCGGAGCCGCACATTTCGACTGAGGATTTTGCCCGGGTTAAGGTATCAGCACTCTTCTTCGTTGTTACGTTGTTTAGCTCCGCCTCTATCTGCCGAAAGGCCACCGCTCGTCGGATGGGGCTGTTTATTTCGTGCATGGCGGAGACCTCGTTATGGGAAACACGGAGATTTACGAAGGCTTGATGCGGAGGATGGGCAAAATGTATGATTGGTCACTTTGACTTCATTCATTCGCTTTAGGATAAGAATGCCGATCGTTTCGATGGACTACAGGCTGGCCCCGGAAACGCAGTACCCCGGTGGACTTCATGATGTAGAACGTGCTCTCATCCACTTCTTCGAACGAAGCCGCGAATTCGATGTGGATCCGACGAAGATCGTGGCGATGGGCGATTCGGCCGGTGGGAACCTCGTCGCAGCTGTGGCGCAACGTCTGCGCGAAAATAAGGAAGTTCCACTTGCTGGACAGGTATAATTGTACTAACTTGGTATCACTTGTGTATTAGGTTCTTCTCTACCCCCTGCTGCAGTTCCACAACCTCCAATCCGACTCCTTCCGGCATTTTCACCGCGACATGGTTGGCTATGCGCTTGTTGGTACGTTGCTCGTCAGAGTTCTGATCCTCTTGCTTTAGATCCGGTGTCGCTCGCCTATTACTACATGTGGTACGCTGGAATTGACGTTAACCATCGCCCGGCGCTTGCTGAAGCGGCTATTTCCAACGGACATGTATCTGCACGCGAACGAAACCTGACTGGCGCTTACACCGACCTGCACAATCTTCCAACCCGCCGGCGACACAAGGGTTTACCAACGGTGACCGCTGTCGTGGAAAACGAGGAAGCCCAGGTGTGTTGTCTCTTATCATCAAGTATTTCTTTTTCCAGATGTTGATGGAAGAACGCCTTCTTGACCCGTCCTTCTCTCCCTTGATCCAGCACGATCTCACCGGGCTCCCTCCGTCTTTCGTGAAGTCTCCTTTCCGATGGTCAACCCTGCTCCGTTGGATGATTTTTTATGCGTTGATTATGTGGGTATTCGCGCTAATGCACTTGGGGGGGCACTACGAGACGCTCCAAATGCCGTTTTTTAAACTCCGAGCCTCTGGAAAAGCTAAGCCTAATCCTAGGCTTAGCTTCTAACAAACGAAGCCTGAGCTTAGCTTGAGCAAAGCTAAAAGCTAAGCTTAGTTCTAAGCTAACCCATAAATGATCCCATTTTGACCTCGTGAGTCAATTTGAAGCTCAAGATAAGCTTAGCTTGGGCTTAGGCTTAAGCCTAAGCTAGACTTAGTTAAAGCCAAGTTAGGCCTAGGCTTAAACTGAAAGCCAAGTAGCTTAAGCGGAGAGCCTCTTAACCTCTTATTACCAATTTTGGACTGCCCCCGCCCCTAACTGCATTAGCACCTTTGCCGCTTTCTACTTTGCTAGTGGGTATTTCCAGGGCACGTCAGAAATTACCGCGTAGTTTAGCCTGAAGGTGTCGGCATTAGTAATCGGTGGCGTGAGGGAAAGAAAATGTCTCTGCGTCTCGCCCCTTGGCGCGTTCTCTGCCGTGTGTCTAAGTGTCAAAACGTCGATCAGGGGTGGTCGACCTGGGCCGTCGGTATCCCTTTTTTAAGGGATGCCGACGGCATAGACAATCGGTTAGAAAATGTCTCTGCGCCTCTCCCCGGGGCGCGCTCTCTGCCCTGTTGGCTAGCTGCCAATTTGTTTATATTGAGGCCGTCGGCAGCCCTTTAAATACCCTCGTATTTAACATCCTTGCAGACCAGCCGAAGCGATCGACTGGGCATTAATCCGTTCGGCTCTGGCCGGAGTAACGTTAAACCAAATAGTGGTGTCGTTCGCGACGCTCTTCGACGAAGGACCCAGATGCCCACGTCTCTGGGCGACCGGCCCGGTCGCGGTGGGCGGTGTGATCTTCTTTGCCTACTGGCTCTACCACACGCGGGCGCGGGCGGAGCCCGCGGCCGAGCGGCGGGAGCTTCGAGGAATGAATCCCTGATAACCAACTAATTTTGTGCGAATTCGGAGATCCGGCCTCTAGGCAAACCAAATCATTTTATATGAGAAATATGCAGCTCGACGAGCTGGTTAGGAATCAGTTGAAAAGGGCTGTGAAATACTTTTTGATGACCAAAAGGGTCGAAAGAGGCCGATTTCCTTTGGATTTTCCGCTCTAGTACAGAAACAGCCTAAAAATAAGGCTTCGTGCCACCCTCAGTCGCTTCTGACTTTGATTGATCTCGAAATGGGGGTCGCAGGGCCGGAGAAGGGGACCGTATAACCGAATTTGCTCGCGATCGTATCTATAATTTATTTCTGTCATATTCGTTTTGTGTGTGCTAGCACTACGTGTATTTTTGCTATTTTTGCTATTTTGTGATGTGTGCATTCGTTAAGCGCTATTGTGATTTTGATAAATATTACATTGCTGCTGTCCTGAAACTTTTTGCTTAGGCTGGCGGATAGTGCGACGGATGGCGGGGTCCAGACACAAATGGGGGGCGGGGGGTGGGGCGCGGAATAGGCAGCGAAAGAGTGTGGCTAGAGTATAGGGTACGGGGGGGGGGGGTGGGGCTAGAGCGCAGATTCTCCCTTCTCCTGCTTGCCATCCTGTCCCGGTCAAACGAACACGACTGGTAAAGGGCGGAATGCTGTGTCCGGCGAAGCTTGTCCCGGAAGCCTGGGAATCGGTTACGCGCGTGCAATTTTTAGCAACGATCAACTATCACGAAGATAAACTCTCGGACTTTTTATCTCTTTTTTATAATAGAAGGATGACGAGAAAATACTATCAAATCAAAATCGAAAAAATGTATAATTGGGGATGGGGGGTGTTACGGGCATTTCTTGTCGACGATGGACCGGCCGCTCTCCTCGTACTCGGTCTTGCTGATCCACATTTGTTGGAAGGTGCCCTGTAAAACAGCTGATCAAACCAAAATCTGATTAGCATACCACGGAGGCCAAAATTGAGCCGCCGATCCAGGGGCCGAAGCGACGCTCCATAGAAGTTGGAGGCGCTGACAATCGGATGCGAGCGCTCTGAAAAAAAAATATCTAAGTGAAAAAATATGGCTTAAAAATTACCGGCGGGCATTTTTGCGACAGGTCGTGGCTGAGTCGTTCAGTGAATCCAAGAATCAACGAGTTGCCGCCAGTCACGAGAACGTTTTGGTACATGCTCTAAAGAACACAGGGTTCAGCCAGTAATTTTCAACCTACCGGTCGCATATCGACATCGCACATCCCGCAGGAGCTCCAGGCAAGGTGGCTGACATTCATGAGCGAGGAGGTGTCAACATCACGCAAATACTTCAAGTCGAATAGACCCCCTCAGGAATCTTTATCCGCTCACCCAAGAATTCCTGAAAAAAATTAATGTCCTAAATAAATCACGCACCTTGTGGAAACCATTCGGGAAAGCATATGGGGAGGAGGGCAGCTTTTCGGCGGATTCCGGGTCGATGGGCACATCGCAAAGTTGCAGGACTGATGCCGCCATGTCTTGGAGGAGCTGTAAAAAAACTTTCAAGTTTGATTGTGATCAAACTACCAGTTTCCTCATGAACTTGTCATAACTCTCCGTAACGGCTGGCAGGTTAGCCTTCTCGGTCCATTTTGCTGGCTCACCCTCGTTCACTTCCTCCTGAAAGTCATGAATTCACAAAAATATGCGAAAAAGAGCATATGTTCCAGTTAGTATTTCACAAGCATAACAGGAAATTTCAATCTCACCTTGGCCTTAATACGATAAGTCGGCACCACGTCAATCTTTTTGCTCCGTTAACACCTTTTCGATCTGTTCGCTGATCATATCGCCGCCCAACGGACATCGAACGATTGCTAAAAATACAATATTAAGGCCGTAATTATAAAATACCATGCTTAACCGCGTATCCGTCAAAAACCGGCACAGCGGAGGTCTGTGTAGCGCCACTGTCCACGATAAGGCCACTCGTGCGCCCATTTGCAAAGCTACGACGAAAATTTTAATAAAAACACCGAAACATACGCGGCGAGAACGGCGTTGTTGACCAAGAAGTAGGCGGGCACGTTGTACTTTTCGAAGGCCAGCTCGGTTAGCTTTTCACGTTTCGCCTTGTCGTTCCACTGGAAATGGGAGAAATGTTCGAATGTCAAGAAAATGAGTACCGCGCTTTCGGAAAAGAGGGCAGGATGGTCCGAGGAGTCTGTTCGCAATGCGTCCTTGTAGGCGTAGTTCATCATTTCTTCGAAAAGGTCCCAGTCTTCGACTAAAAAAACGCAATTTTCAATGAAGATTCGACAGACTCATTCCGTCGCTCATGAAGTTCTTGATCTCACAATTCGCCCTGGGCACGATATTCTAAAAGCCGGACAATGCATTGATTAAGCGTCGTCAACCTTGGTGGTCCCGATGTAGATCTTGCGCTCGCGCTTCGTGATGGACGTGTCGTCGGTCTCCATTGCAACTGCTTCATCGACGCCAATTGAAGAAGAAATGTCGCTCTAGAGAGGAATTTAGACTTTAGAATGTTTTTACCGTCGGAAACTCCTCCCCGGCGAATCCGCATCGGAACGAATGGGAGCCAGCGTCGAAGACAATAGCCCCGACCTCGTCTCCCGCATACATTCCACCGCTCATTTTGCCTGAACGGGGATTTAATAAAACTATAGACCAAGAACAAACTCCAAATATAAAATACAAACTTAGGTAGTAAATGGTCAGTCCGCCAGTCGGTTAGCCACATAAATATTGGATTTTCTTTATTCAATGAGCTACATAACAAATGAAAGACAGCAAAAAAAAACAACAAAAAAAACAATCGTAAAATAACGAACTCTAAGCTACCATTCGACTAGTACACAGATCTAGAATAAAACGAATATCGCAAACGGGAATATCTTGGATATGGGCTCAACGGGAAATTCAACGATCAATTGTCTTCTAGTATCATTTTTATCGTTTTTTCTTCTTGGCGTCAGCCTTCGGGTCGACTAGGCCCTGGTCGATTTGCCACTGCCTGATGACGTTGTCCTGGGTGGTGGCTGGGCAGGGCGCGTATCTAAAACCATTTTTGAAAACTACTCAGTTAAACTACCGGCAATATTCCATGTTGAATTCTCCCTTGCCCTCGGTCACTGAACGCAGCAGCGAAGTGTAGCCGAACATGTCGGACAACGGCGCCTCACAAATGACCTAAAACCGGGATCTTTCAACCCTAAACAAAAAAACCGTGGTGTAGCCATCGATCGTGTCCGTGGAGGTGATGAGCGCATTTCGTTGTGTCAACGTGTTGACGACAGATCCCTAAATTTATTTAATTGCATCGTCTTCCTGACAAAAAATTCACGCTTTCTCGACAAAATGTAATAGTTACCTGGAAATCACTTGGCGTCGTCACCTCCACCTTCATGATCGGCTCGAGAAGCAGCCACGCCGCTTTTTCGTAGCACTAAACGAGCATTGGGACGAACTTGAAAACCAAACCTCGCGCATCATGTTAGCCATAGTGTTGATCATGGCGATTTCAGTAGAATCAACCATATGCGTCTCACCGTCCTGTACTCGCACATTGATACCAGCAATCCTAGATAAAAGTTACAGAATATTTTGAAAACCCACTTTTGTTTCATCAGAGGTCCTTCCTGGGTGACTTGGTCAAGACCCTTCTTCAGCGCGGGGAACAGATTCTTGGGGATACTCGTTCCAAAGCATTCGTCGGTGAACTTGATCACGGTATTCCTGAAAATTTACGATGCATAATTTTCCATAAGGGGTACTTTATTGTGGTAAGCCCAAATTCAAAAGCTTACTGATCTGGTGGCAGTGGCTCAACGATTCCTTCAATCTGTCCAAATTGACCCTGTCCTCCGGTTTGCTTCTTGTGACGGTAGTGGAACTTGTAGGGAGCCGCGATGCACTCGCGATAGGCGACCGTTGGCCTGCCGAGTTCGACTGGGCAGTTGAACTCGTTCTTCATCCGCTGGGCGTAAATTTCCAAATGTAGTTCGCCCAT